CTGATATTTGAAGAAATTTTACCAGATACACTCACAAAATCCTACTTAAACAGTTTAAAAAAAAGTTAATAACATTTTTCTAATCATTCTAAACAGCATATGAACTGGAAATAGAGACGGTAATGTGTACCAAGCACCAACAGAGTTCATAATTTGAAAACACCTTGTTTGACAGACTCTGAAAATGTTGTATTTGACAAGTAGCCTAGTCATAACAAAAATTAAAATAAAATTAGGCCAGGTACTACTGAATTTCCAGATTAAAAATGAATGCAGGCAGTTTCCGTACAATATTTTTAAATGACTAGCTCGGAGGCGACCAAACCTTACGGAACAAAAGTGAGAGACACTAATAAACTTATAAGGTTTGGCATTGTTAATTAACATTTGTACAAAATAAGACCTACATTTTAATCAGAATGTTCTTTTTGATCGACAGACTATCTATGCTGGTAAGTCTAGACCAGTGATTGCCTTGTGGAATTAAATTGTGCAATAAGACAAAAATTTCAGTAAAAAAGGAACCACTAAAGAGAAACAACTGCTATGGCAGGCAAAACTGTCTTGCTTTGGCAGTAACATGAGATACTTGTGAAAGCAAGACTCTGTTTATCCCTCAAGAAAATAGAGACAGGTCACACATTACACTGTTTTTGGTCGAAAATCGAGAACAATATCTTGTTCTTTTCTTCAACTTGATGTTCAATTTACATTGTATCATGAAAGACTCTATAGATTGTCGCGTTCAGCGTTGAACTTTCACAAGTCTTGTGAATGCCTCGTTGGAACAAGTCGTCCCGTTGGCAGTGCTTAAACACATGTCACATCCGCGTCACGCCCGCGTCACGCGCCCGGCCCCTGCAGCCACGTCACGTGTCACGTCGCCTCCCGGCCCGTCACGCTCAAGGCGCAAGAGTGCTGCGACACCGCGGACAGCACTCGCCTGGCTGTGTGACGGTGTCTGCGCACGACAGTCGGGGGCACGTCACTGGAGAGCATTTGATGGTCTGGCCCTGCGAAATAAAGAACAAGTTGATATATGCCGTCGAAAGACGCCCAACTCGTCGTCTACCAGTAGCAAGTGACCCACCTTGCATGAGCACTGAGTGCACGGGTCCCGGAGCCACTGCTCGCCGCTGTCTCTCCGTCGGCCGCCCGCCTCCTCGACGCAGCCCGCCTCCCCCGCGCCCCCCTCCGCTCTGTCGGCGTGCCCGCGCCCGCCGCCCTGGCCGCGGGTGCAGCGGCCCTCCAGCCGGCGCAGCTTCCTCCGCAGCTGCCGCACGGCCTTCTGGAAGCTCTCGATGGCCGTCTCCAGGCCCTCGATCCGCTCCTCGCCGAGGTCGTCGTCCAGGCCCAGCCCCAGGTCGAGCGCCGCGTTGAGCGCGTCGTCGTCCTCGTTCTGCCACTCGGGGGTCTGGGGGTGCGCGGGGTCGTTGAGCTCGCGGCGGTAGCGCCGCACCCCTCGGTAGAACGTGCGGCCCAGGCTGCTGAACTGGCCGGCCGAGCGGCAGTCTGCAGGGAGGGGGAAGGGTAAGACAACACGTGCGCCACGCGTACTACTACTACTACTACTACTCCACCCTCCCTCACATCCACTACACTCACCCTGACAGCACTCGGCCCAGAAGCGGAACTCCAGCCGGGGAATGTCCCACGTGTCGCAGCTCAGCAGGTTCTCGGTCTTCTCGAGGTAGAACACGTCGCGCTGCAGGCGGGTGATCTTGTCGCCGTTGTCGCAGAGGACGCGCGCGAGCGTCGTCTGCTTGATCTGCGTCAACTGCTCCGGTTTGAATACGGCGGGGTTCTCGTAGTAAAACCTGCAAAGATGGGACATGAGTCTAGTGTGTTGCGGATGTGTCCAACGACAGTAGCACGAAGTGGGCGAATGACGTGAGCTCTCACCTGTCGCCGTCGCGCAACCTCTTGAACTGTTCGACCAGGAGGCAGCGGAAGGTGGGCCCGACCTTGGCACCGTCCACCTGGTCCTCCAGAATGCCTCCCACCCATAGATCAATATTACCTTTAGAGAAAGAAAAGAGCATTCCAACATAAGATTTGGTGATTTTCAACCCGCTCTCCAGACCTATCGGACACCGTCACGCGACTTGCCTGGATGGCCGTACATCTCCTTGAGCTTGTCCCGGATCTCCTGGCTGCTGATCTCGTGGCGCAGGTCGTCGAACGTGTTGGCCGCGGCCAGCCCGCACTTCTCCCGGTAGGCGTTGTACTCGGGCAGGCCGTGGTCGCGGCCGCGCTGGATGTTGATGGCGGCCAGGTCCAGGGCGACGGCGTGCGCCACCGTGAACAGCTGCTCCGTCAGCTCCGCGTTGAGGTTCTGGCTGGGCGTCTTGAGCTTGGCCGGCGTGTGGATGAAGCCGCGCAGGAGCGGGTCGACGCCGCCCTCCACGACGAGCCTCCAGGGCGAGAAGAAGGCCTTGCCGAGCGGCAGGTGGCCCTCGGGGATGGGCATGTACGACTCGTTGAGGCGGTGCAGCTGAGGGTTGATGAGCGAGTGCCCGAAGCGCAGCGCCGCCGTGGCGAAGGCGTTCGAGATGCCCGGGTTGACGTTGGGGTCGTAGCCCTGGTAGTCGCCCATCATCGCCATGCCCTTGGCGCCCAGCACGGTGGGGAGCCAGTGCTTGAAGGTGATGTGCTGCACCTCGGCTCCCACAATCTGCGAACCAGAGCAAGACGAGTCACCGCCATCGTCCCGTCCACGCCGACCTAGCCTGCCGCGTTCAGCTGGATCCTTACCTTCCTGGCCTCGTGGTACAGGCTGTCGCTGTCCCAGTGGGGGTTCACCTTGCGCAGCTCCTCGGCCACTCGGTTGTGTTCGCGGAACCAGATGGTGTGCATGGCGAGGAGCCCCACTTGCTCATTGGCGCGGATGTCTCCCGCCAGGAAACACCGGATGTCCGACTCGGCGGGGTCCCTGAAGCAGAGGTCAGTGTCAACGCGCGCCTCCCCAAGTCCCATCATAACAACTCTAGAAAATGGCAAGTTATAATGTCCACTCTATGACCCCAACCCCCCACACCCCCTTCCCCAGATGACGCGAGAGGGCATTGGGTGTCAAACGTCTAAAGAGATCGGCTGCGGCTTGGCCGCTCTAGGCGGGCCGCCGACTTCACACAGCTGCTTTGTGGGTTGGCCTACCCAACCCAGGGCGGGA